ACTACTACTGCTACTACTGCTACTACTACAACTGCAACTGCAACCACAACTACATCAACCACCACGGCTACTAGATACTACTACTACCACTACTACTACTACTACTACTACTACTACTACCACTACGACTACTACTATTACTACCACCACGACTACTAGTACTACTACTACCACCACAACTACTGCTACTACTACTACTACTACTACTACTACTACTGCGACGGCACCAATGGTTCAATCACAGTATGCTCGATGGGGAGTGTACCCTGCTTCAACCAACCTATCAAAACTGCCGGCCATGACGATTCGCGACACGCTTACCGATGACTGTTGAGTAAGCACGCTGCCTCGCATTGTTCTTCTGTTGCACACGCTTCCGGCGCAATCGAAGTTTGGGGTCCCACCAGCTAAAGCGTCTGACCAGCTGCATCTCCATCATGAAACTCATGAACAGTTTTAGACACGACTGATCCATGTTGATCTTGCAGTATATTCGTATTCTTCATCAGCATCTCCGTCAGTGCCGCAATACGACGGTACGATGAAACTTGTGCTAGATCAGCTAGATCCATCAAGCCAACCTACAGCAGTGTGCCCTAGCGGCACAGATGACCACCACTGCAAGCGAGACAGCCCTTGAATTTGAATGTGAAATGACATGACCCGTGGACGCCCGGGACCACTTCAGCCAAGCTTTGAATACCAGAATCCCTGCATTTTCAGTCAAAGATGCCGGCAGAATGGTGCTCATGGCTCCGGAAGGTCCATTCAACGTGAACCTAGGGGCACAAAACAAAGACGGCGGACCATTGCAGCATGCAGCAGAAATTCTGTACCCGGTTCAGGGTCGCGTGCACAGGGTACAGGGCATGCTGAACGAGGTGTGCAGGTGCGGTGGAACACCATCGGCAAGCAAAGAACGCTTCCTTGCCATCATCAACGTCCATCGTGACATCGATCGACTTGATATACCTGCAAAACACTTGACAGGAGGCACTTGTGTCGTCTATGCATTTCTGCTCGCATGTTTTCGCTCGTCAGTTCGGCTCCGGAAAGTGTCAAGGCGTAACCCCAAGCATCTTTGTGGCAGGGCACGGTCGCAAGCGAAAGAAGAAGAGGAACGGCTCACACATCAAGGAGTGGTCCGAGGGTGAGCGCGTGAACCTTGGACGGTCGTCTCACAAGGAAGGGCGTGAGCGACGGCATCGAATCAGAAGCCATTTGGGATGGACGTGCAGAAGTTTGCGGGAAGCCACGGCCAACCTTTGAAGCAACGAACTGCCCTGAAACGGGTGCGAGGCAAATGGAGAACCGAGTCAGGATTACCCCAAAATTCCCAAAGATTGCTGCGACTCCAGCAGTGACGATCCCATTCCCTCCGCAGCAGAAGTTCATGCCGAGCTGCATGATAGGCAAGCACACAGAGGCGAGCCTCCACAAGGCCTCCTCCAGGGTGTGCAGCTCTTGCAACCTGAGAAGCATTGTAGTCGAAGGCAAGCCATCCCAAGAAGACGCTGCTTGACCCTTTTCTTGTGGTGGGAAATCGCTGACTTGGGATCCTTCATTGCGGCTCCGGTGCAAGTTATGGATATTCTCGTCCTTCATCGCACAGGAGATGGCCTTTCTGCTGCACTGGTCAGAAGAAGGTCGGCACTTGGCGATTGCAAGAGGTCAGAACACGATAGCAGTGCTGGCACACTTCATCTGTAGACAAGCTTGAAGTGCCAGAAACGCCGCCTCCAAGCTGCTGATGACGTGGCCGCCCTCGGACTCAATAATGATGTGAGTCTTGAAGAACCACTCCTCATCGACCAACCTGAGTGACAAGCATTCAAGCAGCCCCAAAACTGGCCTCCCTTCGCCCAGGAGCCCCGTGAAGCGACGGAGCAGCCGCAAGTTGGAGGGCTTGATGGGACCTGGACGAGGTGAACTCGATCGAAGCTGCTGAGTGGACTCACTTCCTGCAGGTCACCCGTCACTAGCGAAACGTCGGTGCCTGCAGGGTCCAGACGCTCCCAGTTGTTCAGCACGCAGCCGGCATAGTCAAGCATAGGGCGTCTCTCGAGTCTCTCCTCAGCTCTGAAAACGAACCACTCCGGCCGAGGAAGTCAAGAAGGCCAGGGCGGCCAAAGCGCACTGACGCAGATCCATGGCATCGACAACCATGCGGGCAAGTGGTCCAAGTCTGGCCGGCGACCTCGCAAGCACTCCCTCTATCGTTCCAGTAGATGCCAGACCGCCAGAACCCGAGCCGCCCTTGATCAATGCTCAAAATGCCGGCGGGCCCAGAATATCCAGCTTCACGGTCTGGCCCTTCTCGTACACGTCCGGTGGGCCATGGAGGTAGGCGAGGCAAATGTATCCTCCCAGAGAGCTAGTTACACAAAAGAAGGCAAGCACAAAGTGACTTGCGGACCCCTGGTTCTGGTCAAAAGCTGGGGATGCAGGTCGCCTTGCCCGGAACACAAGCCTGGCAAGCTGGACCTTCCTCTGCTTGAGACAGCTGCAAACCCTCGCTACTACTGTCGAGTGCTGATCTCGTCTCACATCCGCATGTTATCGGCTCGACTCCCGACTTCCTACGTAACCTCCCGACCGCAGGCCTAGCAGCGAGTGGAGGCTCTCTGCCTCACCTTCAGAGAGGACGTCTAAGGCCTCCTTCCATCGGGTTCTCAAAAAGATTTTTGCACGTGACGTCCGAAGAGGCATCAACTCAAACTATCTTGTACAGCACTGAAAGATGTTGCAAGAGTGTGGTCACGCTTAACGCCAGATTCGCAGAGCCCAGACTTCTCTCCAGTAGCTCCAGGCGGTGGGCTCGGTTTTTGCCTGATCCCGGATGTTCCGTGAGACGCCAGCAGGTTTGGACACACCAAACGAAAACGACGACCAAAGGTCACTGGCCGGTGTCCTTGATCTCTGCACGATTCCGGGGGAGCGCGCAGCTGAGCCTGCCACACGTTTTGTTCGAGAGGACCTTCCGAGGTGAGCTAAACCCCAATGTCTACCAGGTCTACCACACACGAACGCAGACTGTTGAAAGATGGGTCAGAAGCTCTGACAGCAAAACGTTGAAGCTCCAGTCAAAGGGACAAAGGAATCTGTACGAAATGTCAACCTATCAAACGGCCAAGAAGCTCTCTTTCCGCAGCTGTGCGGAACTTGCCATGAACTGTCAGCGACGGCAGCACTTCCTCAGAATGACCATTGCACCACAGCCAAAGCCGGCGAAGTCTTCTTTTGTCAAGCATACGACTGTGCGCTTTCTGCGGTGTGCCCAGCCAGCCAGCCAGCCAGAAGATCCCACGGCGGTCGCTCACACGCGGGCATGCAGGACTGATTCGGTTACACATGTTTTCTTCTCAGAATACCTAAATCGAAGCCAGGCACCGAGAGCTTCACCAGTCGGTCCCATGGAGCTGGAAGCTCCTTGACCTGGCACGGGCGCCCGAACATGCGTACATCTGCAAAATATATATGTGTGTGTGGTGCCTATGCTCAGCATGATTATGCGAACATGCAATCTATGTATGTATGTATGTCTGTGTGTATGTATGTGTGTATGTATGTGTGTATGTATGTGTGTATGTATGTGTGTATGTATGTGTGTATGTATGTGTGTATGTATGTGCGTATGTATGTATGTATGTATGTATGTATGTATGTATGTATATATGTATGTATGTATGTATGTATGTATGTGTATAGGTATCAGATATACATCTATACACACATACAGAATGTGTCTATTCACTTATTTGTTTATTGATTTTACTTGTAACACTTGTCTCCATGTCTTCTCTGCATGGCTGGCATCTTCATCACACATACCGCTAATGATCAGCCTGACTATCTATCTGTCCTCTGAGAATAATAACGCAAGCCGATTTTCTACACATGCACACATACACACATGCACACATACATACATACATACATACATACATACAGACATACATACATACATGCATGCATACATACATGCATACATACGGGCATACATACATGCATACATACATACATGCATACATACATACGTAATTACATACATACATACATTACACAGACAGACTCAGACAGACAAACAGCCAGTCAGCCAGGGAGGCAGCCAGCCAAGCAGGCAGGCAAACAGACAGACTTGCATGCATACACGCCATGCGCAAGTAATCACTTCCATCTTGTGTTCAAGCACTCCCCTAACGACTTTCCGGGAAATCCCCGTGAAGTCATTTCCCGCCTGTTAAAACCGGAATTACGGGGGTGTCAGAACAAGAGCAGGAGCAACAGCAAGAGCCGCGGCAGGAGCGAGAGCAAGAGCCCCGGCAGGAGCAGGAGCCAAAGCCGCAGCAGCGGAAGCTGGAGAAGCGATTATGGAGAAGGGATTATGCATCAATATATAGTCGTAGGGCAACTTAGGACCAGTGCAAGAGAGACGCTGGATCAGCACATGGAAGGAAGCCACACTCTTCGACATTCCACCAAGAGTCAACCTGCATTCGGCTGATTATGCTTTGTGCTTGGCTCCTCGAGGCAAGGGACAGGCCATCCAAGCCGCAGGCATAGTCTCCGAAGATTTTCAAGGAAGAGCAAACGATGCCAAATAAACTATAAGGTTCCCCCCTCCCCTGAACTGACACCTACATGGAGTGAGTCACAACGTTGCCTGGCCCCTCACACGTGCAACAACCGAGGCACTTGGTTGATCTTTAGTCGGCTGCTCTGGCGTCCCCCGGTGAGCTGCAGCGGCTTTGCAGGCTCGCTGGACTCACTGGTTTTTGCAGAATCGCAGATTCCAACCTGGAAGGGGATGCCAAGACAGAAAGGGATTCGTGTTGCATCTGCTGGGAGACGCGAGCTCGAGCTTGCAACTTCCGCGTTCTGCAAGCAAGGCAGGACTGAGGTGCTGCCAGGAAGCGAAAAGCTTTTCCATCTGCAGAAGGGCTGCGCTTGAATGGCGCATGGTCTCAAACTCCACAGTCGCATCTCGGCCAGCCACACCTAGCCTGAGTGTCAGCATGACGATGCGCACAGCCCGGGCACACCTCTTGACACCAAGGTGATAGCAATTAGGGGAAACTCTAGCATCAGCAGCTTTCATTCCAGTTTGCCAGGAGACAGGAGGTCTGCTCCTCCGGGATGCCTCTCAACATATTCGCTCCTTGGCGCCAGGGCAGAAGGTGCGCGCTTGAAACCTCTAGGCCGGGCCTCCTGGCATGTAAGATGCTTTATGCTACCAGTACCAGTGCACTGCTACCTATTCTCAGCTGCGACAGTCGCCTGCTTGCAGCTGCACGAGTCTCTTGGAGCCTAAGAGCCCAAAAACTCGGCCTTCTTCGCTCACCTCCAATACAGTCCCACTGGCTTGCAGTCCTAACACCGACAACCAAACTGCTTGTGCCTCACACGAGCAGCTTTTTGCCACGAGCATCAAGTTGTAGACCTTGCCAAAGATGATCACCCAGCCACGAGAGCGAACCTCTTGCAGGGAGATCCTTCGGATGTCCTCCACGTCTCGCCGCCTGCACAGTGCTTGTTGCGGGTGTGAAATCGTCACGACTGTCATGACAGCAAGGACGTGGCTACGAATCTCACCTCTTAGCATTTCTGATTTCCCCGTGGCATTGCTGAGCTAAACTCACATCCACCAGCGAAATGGGATGAATGCGCCAAATCGTCCGACGACGGCCGCGGCCTTTGTGGGCAGGCATTTCCCATGGCTCGCACAGAGCATCAATGGGAAAACATGGCTTCGGAAGGACTCGAGCCTTTCGCAACGGCAAATCTGCAGGTGAAAGGTGCGCAATCACTCAGTTGCCAAGCCCGGCGTAATTCAAACAAACCTGTGCGCTTGGATTTTCGGAGGTTTAACTTGCTTGTGACGCAGGGCAAATTGAATTCCTTGCCCCCTTTCCATCACTTCCATGCCTTTCATGTCATAATCCACTGGCAATCCCCGAAAGGCTCGAGCTGGCAGGGCGGTGCATCGACCTGGCGGCTGTCAATTGCCGGCTCCTCAAAAAGCCCAAAAAGGGCCAACAGCGAAAATCCGAAGCAAACTGGGGCCACGGGCCCAGCAACCTCAGCCCTCAGTTTTGGTCCGGAAGTAAAAGTCGTGGTGCTACCGAGGCAAACAAGAAGAAAAACAATCTCCGGAAATGGGTCGTGTTTTCGTGCTCCACGCTTCTCCGCCTTTGCTTTGATCGTCAAGAGGACCTTCTTTGGGACCTAGATGCTTTTGAACGCGCCGGAACAACTGAGCCAAATCATGCCAGGCTGAGGTGTCTCTACGAATACCATGGGCCGGCAGCAAAACACCGACGAAGAAAGTCAAAGTTCAGTTGTAGCCAGCGCGGGGAGGTTCGCCGCGGCATCTATCTTAAATGCAATCGCGTGTGAGACTTTGGCGCTTGCCGTATACACCAGGTGTCTGCGCTGTAAAGCTGGCTTAGCCTTGATCTTCGCATCAGCGGAGAGTGTAATGGCGAGCGGCTAGCAAGGCTTTCAGAGGCCTTTGTCAGCCCTCCTGCCCTCTATTCAGCAGGGATAATACAATCGCTATTCGACTGTACTGTCCTCCTGGATGTCACATGCTGGACAAAATGTGCGAGAATCCCTAAGCCTCCCGAAATGTCACGCAGCACGGAACCTAGCAGTCATATCAAGAGGTGGAGTATACACCGGTCCCACATTCGAAAGGAGGCTCTACTACAGCAGGCCTAGGCCCTATGCTGACGCAGGGCATCAGAAATTGCTGCGTCACATCTGGGACTCTTCGAGGCTATCGGCATCTTATTCGGACGAAAGGTATCATTGGCAAGCATAGGGAGTGGACCACGCACTTCCACCCGACCCGATGTGAGTACGGCTGGAATATGGAACGGCTCTGGGAACGATGCGGTGCTGTGGAAAGGATCGGATAGCTGGCGGTATGTCATGCCGCAAGATTTCGAAATTTTTCGCTTGCGGATGAAAAATTCGCTTGCGGATGGAAATTCAAAATTTCAGCATGGGGCTTGCAAGAGTCTCTGTACAGAATTTATAGTGGATCATGTAGCTGGCGCCAGCCTGCTCCTCAAAGTGAATTAGTCCGCCAGTCGACTGGGCTTCCGTCAGCCCACCAGCGTGATTGGTCCTCAGCATCGCAGAGCAAGGGCCCTTGGGCACTCTGTCTTGAATTGTTCTCAACTTCGTGCTTCATCCTAAATGCTTGTAAGTCTTGCCCCAGCGTAGTACAAGCGTGTAGCATGCTGCCAAGAACATATATATATATATATTATATGCTACCCCCCCCCTCATGTGC